TTATGGAATACGGGATAATATTCCACTGGAGTACCTAAATTCTACTTTTACACTAAATCAACACATCTGCGTATATGACTGGCAAAACTAGTCAACAGCTGCCTCAGTAATGTCGTCATCTTTAAGTATGGGGCGGGCATATACAAATTAATAATCATATTTATTATATATCTGTGGAGATATCCAATGTATCGTTATCGAATAAAGCACACCATTAACGACTTTATTGACTTCCCATAAATCATGATTTTATTTCTTTTTTTCTAAACCTGTTGAAAAATGTTTGTACACGTATACTGTCCTGCTGACATATCTCGATGATTCACAAATCTTGCTTCACTTTATCACTGAAACATATCATTTCACTCTGTGAAACAGTGTTCCAACAAATACACATCAGTGGCCATCAGGATAAAAACTGTTTAAATCAAAGTAAATTCCATTCCATGAGCTCTTTTGCCTTTGAAGAATACCACATATCCTAGGCTGTATGATTATGTCCAGGAAGCTGAACTCGGTATCACTGTTGTTATGATCGTTCTGAAAGTCTTGTAGCAAGCAGGATATATGGAATCTTTTTCTCTGAACATATGTTTTAACTTTGTACTCTCTAGGTTCGCTATGGAAATACTTACCGATACGAAATGTTGTGTTTATCCCATTAATACTCTCCTCTCTGTGAGTGCCGGTCTCTTTTTCAATAGAATTAGGTCAGTAGTGCACGTTAGTAAAAGGTGACTGATCTCCTTTGATCCTTTTTGAAATCGATTAAAAATCATGCACGTAATTTCAATAGTTTTATTAACGGTTACGTTTGTGAAAAGGGAAACTGCATCAAATGACACTATAAAGGTCTTGAAAACGATAAGATGTTTTATTTTGTCGAACAAATGAAATGAAATTAGATATGATAGAGAAGATTTTTAGCTCAGGTGGATGATTTTGATGTGGTTGTTCGCAAATCAACCATCCAGCTCAGAGATCACAACCACATTGAAATGAAATTTTTTGCAGGTCAATGAACGGATTTCAGCTTTCAGCCAACTAGCAAGTCAATTTGTGTTGGAGTGAATTTATCAGGAATAGCGTAGATGTGCATATGTAATTTCGACATCCTATGAAATTCTCCAGGCTTCAGATAACTGAGTGCAAAATTATATGCCAACTGCTTTATCCACAGTTCTTTCATCATCCTTTTGATTAGATTTTCAGTTGAGTTGATTATATCTTTCTTGGCACGTTTTATTTTTCAGTTTCATGGAATACTGGAGAACGGAGTTATTCTTGCATTATTAGGGTGATCAAACTCTTATCTAATTTTATTGTCACCTTTTTCTATCGTTACCTTTCTTATATCACCGTTAATACACTTGATAGGTGCACTATCGAATTTCTTACCTAGTCGTTTAGCCGTCTTACTGTTCTAACCACTATTAGCAATAACAACGACGACAACAACACGATGTGATACGAACCAAACCGCGACGCAAGAGAAGAAGAGAAGGTATATAGTTGATGTGGATAGCTTCTACTGTTTGATATCAGTAGTGAAAATGATTGACAGCAACTTTGTGTATATGTATATCAGGAAACGCAACTACCTTTGGTCTACAACAGTGTGGCTGTGTTTGAACTTTGTGGTTGATGCATCGACAGCATGAGGAAACTCCGCCTTCCCTACCGCAGTCAGTTTCTTATACGAGAGTGCGAAATCCAATATTTCAATGCTGGTATCAATATGGTCTGTTTGAGTCCAGGTCTGGTGATGGTTGTGTAGGAAGATGGTACTGGCAAGGGACAGTGTGTGATCTGAGCAAAGCTGCAGAATACGGTTCGCACTATTTTGACCTCAACCTCAGTGGTCACCTAAACCACTCTCATCTGAGCCTAGATACGCGACTAGTGCATCCAAGTCCCAAATGGCCCTGCAATATATATATATATATATATATATATATATATATATATATATATATATATATATATATATCAAATGAGTAAGATCACTGATATAAAAGTGGAACCCACTCTTAGTTGCAACACGCTGCAATCCATTGACAGAGATGATGAAAGGAAAATACTTCTTTGGGTCGTTACTTCTTACTCTTATATAGTCTTTCGACCGGACAGTTCGTAAACGACTGTCAATGGCAATCCAATTGAGTAATGAAGTTTAAGCTCGAAGGCTTAGTGCGACACTGGGTAAGCCGAATGTCACAGGATCTCTCGATGAACAAACGTGTTAGCAAGCAGAAGTTTCGTTGGTCTAGAGTAAGATGATACTATTTCTCCAGTTTAAGACGCGTATAAAATACAGTCTTATGATTATATTGAAAGTTTTAGAATAAAACATAGGCACTGTGGTAGAGTATAACTCCATTATGGATAAGATTTTATTTTGATAAATTGCAAAGTGTTGTACAGCAATATTGACTGTGCTCAAAACGTCATCAACCAATATTACTGTACAACAGTGTGATTTATCAAAATAAAATTCTATCCATAATGGAATTAAATTTTAGAATGTTTGACATGCCGCATTCCACCCCTGTCAAACGTAGGATGATGATGCATAACAGGTGTGCACAGAGTCCTAGTTTATGGATACGTAGTAAAATGATTGAATATGCTGACCACAACTGAAACTGACTGAATCTCAGCATCCATAGAGAAACTTCGTTCGGCATTTACCCACTTGCATCATCCCTGAGTAAATGTCATATTCGGACAAGCGTGCTGTACAGCATCGAGCCCGGTCTCCATTCTAACGCTGAGATTTGGTTGTTGAAAGTATCAGACACTGAAAGATTAACCGTCTTTGACTGTATGCGCCAACCCCTCTGCCAGATGGATCAATAAGGTCAGCAACATTGAGATTACGTGTATAATTTTAGGCATGGAGTAAATGTCAATTGACGCGGTTGTGCAAATCTGTCCATTGAAATGTCTAGGACACGTCCTACTAGTGCCCAGTCACCAACTACCTTGACAAGCAATGTCAGCTGAATTAGGAGTAGGTCGGGAAACAGTCAGAGGTGGTTAGACAAGTAGTGAGGTCGTTTATTGTAGGTTTGAGCCATGCAGACATGCGACTCTTAGCGACGTGGTTCAACATTGTTTTCAGTGGAATAGATGTGCCCGCTGTTTTAAACCTCCCAGATTCCGGAAATCTTCGTGTGATTATTACTTCTCCCGTACATTTTCGTTGGCCGTTTTTTTATTCCTTTACGTTCCAAGTGGAACATAGGGTTTCAGGCTAGAGGCTTGAAGTTTCAGTAACAGTGGTGATTATTTTTACAGGATGGGATTGCTAGCCTCATATCCAGCCTTCCCTCTTTGCCAGTCTTACCACTGGTTTAGAGGGGTAAAGAAGTGCGTCGGCCTGGGACCAAACCTCGGACCACCTGAGTGGTCGGCGAGCACTCTACTGCTGTGCCACCGACGCATTTTTCTATGAACTGATGCACGTCTACACTGAAATATTAGGGACATGGTGTCTGAAAACGGCATGGTGGGAAGCACATGTTCTCTTACAGAATGCGGACATGTTTAGAAAACATTACCGGGAATCTCATCTATAATGAAAATCACCTCGTATGTCCACTACCATTCTAAATCTATGACACTCACTGAAAGAAAATTCTATTTAATAAACGCTCTGGATACTAATTTTACATTTTAGTGAAATGTTGAAGGTCAGAGGGTATTGCTATTTAGAGATAAGGTTTTCTGATAGAAAAATTTCCACGAATCTATGCCTCTTTAATTTATTGAAGTATGAACTTCAGTAGTGTTTCTCGTTTCCAAAAATACACTGAATTTCTAGTGTCTTTATTTCAACGAATATCCCATTTGGGAACGAGTAAATCCCGATATTCAGTTTACCTTTGTTAGGTACTCGTATTTACCGCTTAGGATATGTTTTATTGAAGGTAACATACATAAGTTGCAGGTCTAGTGAAACTGTCATATATCTTTAAAGAATCTCAGAATTTTCAAGTATTGGTTTTTGTAGGGATTTCGTTTGATTGCATGGAGGATTTAATCATGAGCTGACATCAGTTAGAGAACCACTGGAAAACCTGGGAGTACTGGACAGCCGTTTCGTCCTAGTTTGGGACTCCTCCTCATGATTAAATCCTCCATGCAATCAAACAAAATCCCTACAAAAACCAATACTTGAAAATTCATCTGATGCTCACTAGTGACTGGCCCTATTCAGGCAGTTAACCTGGGGTTCTAGTGGGAAGCCGTGACCAGTAGGGTACAGCAGGTCGAAGATGAGGCAGTAACTCATCGAAGAAGACATTGCGAAATGGTCACGCTATGTCGTGAATTGGCAGAAGTTAGAATTCAAGGACCATTGGATCGGGTCCCAGTGGCTCAATGGTCTACGAGCTCGCCTTGTAACCAGAAGGTCCTGGGTTCGAATCCCGGTGGGTGCGTACTGCTGAGGAGTCCCAAACTAGGACGAAACGGCTGTCCAGTACTCCCAGGTTTTCCAGTGGTTCTCTAACTGATGTCAGCTCATGATTAAATCCTCCATGCAATCTCAGAATTACTAGTCAACATGGATATCCAAGGAAATAACGATTAGATAAGTACAATGCTTCTGACATCATTTGATTTATGTATCCAAACTGTAAATAATAAAATTTATACTAACCAAATACGATGCATGTTTCAGATAACATAAACGAAGATCAACACTATATACCATTTCCGCTTAGATAATCCAAAAATGCATTGCACTGGTGGGCAATACAAAGATATCGGCAGTCGTTAGGTGTCGGTGCACAGGGGGAATACTGTCGGTGGTTTTTATATGAATACAAATTTAACACTTCAGGTTCTTTTCAGACAGACAGCTGCATAACATGTGAAGTCAATTTGAAATTTCTGAACCAAAATATTAGCGCCCTTCTCTCATAGTGTATCTATAACATTAAAAGAGATGTAAGAACGGAACTAATTAAAAAACACGTACATGTGCTCTGTTAAAAATAACTTGTATTTCAATAGAATGTAAAGATATTTTCTATCATAAAACTATAATCACTAATTTTGTAAAATATGTCTTTAAGTGGGTGATGGTGCAGTCTTCATGCAATCTTCTGTTCAAGCAAAATCTTGATGATAGATGAAAATTTATTCAAGGAAAGTAGATAGACAAATGAATGATTCAGATGTTTTATGTATCTCACTATCTGTGATGATGTAATTGAGATCGGAAAGTCTAGTAAAAGAGGAATACAAGACCGGATTGGAATAAACTGTCCTTCATTCTTCATCTACATACAAAATGTATTTCTGTGTGTATTGTACGAAAATAGCGTAATATTATCTTCTCTGAATCAAAATGTACTAAGTTATATCCTCAACAAAAAAATAAGAATAAGAATAATGATATCCATGGTCATAATGACAAATATAACTGAGTGTAATAACTGTAATAATTATAGGAATCATAGTAAGGCATAGCCAATTTATAAAACAGGATCATGAAAGCACCATTCGCCACCCACTGAGGTGACACATTGTGTATATTAGATGTATTGATAGTTGAATAAAAGTATGATACTATACTACTCACACTATGATTTTTAAAAAAGCGATGAAAAATTTGGAGCAAAAAAGAGAGAGAGGTAAAAGGCAAACACAAATAGTAACAATGATGACGACAATAACAATGAAAAGAGTTATAAAAATAACTGAATAGGTAACAGTGAAGAGCTTGCCAGTATATATGAGTTTGAAACAACAGTTTCGCTAAAGACTTCATGTTTTCAAATGAAGTATTTCGCAGATTTATATTAATTTTTAACTGACATTCTGCGTAGAAATGCACTCATAATTCGATTGTTCTAACTGACAAAATGCTGTGGGTAAACATATTTAGTAACAGCTGATGATGAGCAATGAGTTAATAATCACGACTTCAAGATAAAACAAAAGAATTGCAGGACGAGAAGTAAATAACACAGATAATTAAGCTTGAAATAAAAAGTATAATAATTAAAACCAACCAAGTACATTGCAGTAAATAATAAAAAGTAATCTAGTAGTAATAGATGAATGCAAAAGAAATAATTGTTACACAGGACTATAATAAGAAGTGAAACAGCTAAAAACAATAAATTTGTATAAAAATTGACAGAAATATCTGAGCACTAATATTACACATTTGGTAACATATCTCTTCTTTAATGTCATGTGATCACTATCATTCACAAGGAGTTATTTTTTCACTTCCAGTATTGTTTCAGTACAATTTTGCTGAAGACGACGCAGTCGCCGAGCTCTCTTCCGGCGAAAACGTTGGACAATTACAGGTATTACAGAAAACGCTGATAAGACCATACCCAATCCAGAAATTATAAAAGCAGGATCATGCGATTGAGTCAGATCAATTATGTATCCTAGTTTTTAGAAAGAAAAAAAGAAACGCAAAATATGCGAATAAGAACTCACCGACAGGTGTTCAGTAGTGTACTAACCTCTCCAGACAATCATGGTAGCAATTTGAATATTAAAAATACTTGCTACCATATAGTATCAGGTATAGTAATAATGTCCGTACACTTAGAACATCCAAAATCAGCGCATACAACCATGGTATGGAACTAAAGGTTGCCAGAAGAGCACTCCCAGATCATGGAAATTTCACATGTTTATAGGAATGACTTAACTACACACTTACCGTAGCACAACAACGACACTCATTCTGTAGAAACCACTCAGATGCATTAATTGATGACGATAGTTGACAGCCTACAGTAATCCAACAATTTAATAATCAACAGAAAACAAAGACCACCTCTGTTGGATACTACCACAGGGGTATGAAGTCGGTAATGAATTAAGTAAGCTTCGAGTTGGCCTATGGAAAGATGAGATAGTTCTGTAAATGGCAGGCCAGTTTAATTAATATAATATGCGAGATTCTTGAATACTGTGTTTAGTAAAATATGCGTCAATTTTAGTCACCTTTGTTAAAGGTATGATATCTGGATGAACATGAACTGCACAACAATCCATTTGGTCTTATGTTATGATGAAATGAAAATATCACATTTTTGATCATAAGCGTCTTCGTTCAGTCGCTTGCATTATGTGAAGTGACACAATAAGTCATAGTCACAATAATCTTGGGTTTGTACGTTTAGAGTGACAGTCAGTTGATAAGGTTGTTAATCTGCAGATGCAATTCATGCAAACTCTTATATTGATTCTTCAATCAGATTATCGGAATAGAAATTGGACACATCCTTTCCTTATCAATGCATTGAGTTATTTTCTTAGCAGTGTTGAATCCTAAAATAAACAAAAATGCAATACGTTTCCACAATCTTTTAAGTAATCAATACAGAAAGGTTGATTGAATTATTTGTGAGACACTTTGTTTCAGATAATGACGAATGTGTTTGATAGTTTAAAAACAAAAAACAATAGGACGCTGCAAAAAATATGTAGTAAGAAATTAAAATGTAGTAATAGTAACCATAGCGACGAATTCAAGTAGATCACTATACAAATTGAATAGTGATTTAAAAAACTACAGAAGACACAGTTACTGTGAAAAGTACAGTCACCCCAAATATAATTCATAATAGCCAAGGAAATTGTGAAAGGGTGAGGAAATAAACTATAATGAATTATCACATGAGATCGAACGACTGATGACCTTAACATATGAATTGGCCAAACCCTAAAAACAATGTAAAATAATGCCTTAAGTTAGGGAGAAAAATAACCGTTGTGATTTATATGCAGATTTCTTAATATTGAAAGACATTCAGAGGAAAGTTTGTCATATATATACCCCATCATAATTACATCAGCCTAAAGACCTATTTGGCAGCTGAAAACAAGAAGAGAACATTGAAGTAATCTGAAATAATTATATAGACGATAAGAGATAATTGTAGTACACATTGAAATCGACCAAAAGTAAGACTGATGGAAGAAAGAAATCTAATCACTCCTGGTAAACTTTCAAAACACTATCCGATACAAACTGAGTGTGGTATTCTGTGTGTATCCTAGTAGGTACAATTCATTATTTCACAAAAAGACCCGTATATACTAAATCCTGAGAGTATAATATATGAAAGTGTGACATTATTACTATTATTGTTTCCTTGGGTTTCAAGTGGTACATAGGTCTTCAACAACACATCTCTACTTCATTCTATCCTTTGCCATCCCTTTCAGCTGGGTCAACGATTGCCCACAATCTCTCATGAGATAAATAGAAAAACAACACAAGAAATGGATAAATAGCGAACAAAAGTTGCGGCAGAAGAGTTTAAATTGAAATCTTCGATATTTCACTCATTGGTCTGTTGGATTAAAGTGATCATTCAATGAATATGCCATTCTTAAAAAGCAATCCTATGTCTTTGTTAAGATTTTGTTTTCACACTAATTAGTGATTAGTGAGGAAACCTGGGATATGCCATTCATTCTTTCATATGGGGTGAAGTGGCAGAGCGTGTTCACCACTTCAGCTATTCGGGAACTTACATCAGACTCAGTAGACTGGTTACTAGCGATTTCTCAGTAAGAATACAAAAGGCTTGTGTGGTATCTGCAAATACTTTACCTCTGGCGTAGACGTGATAACCTGATATCGATTAAAGGACATATGTTATAATAATAATAATACTATTATTGTCCCATTGGGTTCCCAGTGGAACATAGGGCTTCAACTACACATCTCCAGTTTTTTCTGTTCTCGATGGTCCTCTTCATTTGGCTTCATAATTGCCCATAATCTCTCATCTCCTCTTCTCACGATCTCCTCCATGTTACCCTCTCACCGACCAACCATTCGCAGCTTCAAATTTGAATTCCACTCCAGCAGTAGACTGCATTGAGCGCCATGTCACTCGACGGCCTCCTCAACGTATGCCCGATCGATACATCCCCATTTTCTCCTACACATTTGTTAAGCAATAGGCTCTCACCTGTTGTTGGTTTGTTCCCGACCAGAGTTTCTTGTTACTGATTCTCTCTGGCCACCTGGCTGGCCATTTAATCTTCAGTATGCAGCCAGCCAGCGAAGTGGGTAGCTGTTGATAACAGTCTTCAGTTGGCTGTTGGAAATGCTTTTCGTGACACGCTGACCAAGTTCCTGATCCGTATAGAAGCACTGACCTACTTGACATTTGTGTTGAAAATCCGAATCTTGTTCCTTATGCTGGCTGAGTGTAGAAGATTTCCAAACTGGTTTCAGGTTGATGAAGGCATATCTCGTCTTTCCGATTCTGGCCTACCTCCAGATCTTCATCTGTTCCGAGTGCCTGCATTTGAAACGATGCTTCCTAGATAAGTGAAGGTAGGAGGTAACCTCTGTTAAATCTCTCCCGTTGATAGTGAGTGGTGCTGATTGTTGTTGTTGTTGTTGCTGTTGTGGTTCGTTGGTCATCTTCATCACCTACCTCCGTCTTCTCTGTGTTCACCTGCAGCCTTATCTTCACTGCTAGCCTCTTTAGCCAGATTTTTGTTTTTCACCTGTAAGTCTTTGAGTTAGTGTGACATTACGACATATATCATCAGCATAATTCAGTCCACAACAATTTAGCATATGATAATCGGTTGTAATAGGCAGCCAGACTTGTCGTACTGCTATATGCACTTCAAACACCTCGCTGAGTTTTCCGTTGTGGATCACCTGACACGTGACATTGTCATATAGTCAGCTATTGGATGAGGTTAATAAAGACTTGGGGACTGCACGCCGTAGTGTTGAAGTAGTTTCCAAATTACTTCTCGGTCAGCACTGTCTGCAGAATGCCCTTTCGAAGTCGATGAAGGAAGCTGAGTAGAGAGAGGTTTGACTGACATTCTATACTTCGTTCTGTGATGACGATGCGTACAGTTGCAATTTGATCAGCACATGATTTGCATCTCCTGAATCCAGCTTGTTCCGGGCTAGCAGAATTCTGTATCTAGTGCATCCTTTATTCTCTCTGGGATGATGCGAGTTAGTGTTTTACTTGGTGTGGACAAGAGCATGATTCCACGCCAGTTCTTGCACAGTGAGGCGTAGATCGCCCTTCTTCGGCAGTCTGACAAGGAAGCCAGCCCTTCTCCTTCCAATCGATAGACACCATTCCTTCTTTCCAAATCTCTTGCAGTGATAGCGTGAGCACATCTGCAGCAGCCTATGGGTCTGTTTCCAGTATTTCGGGGAAATTCTGTCTGGTCCTGCTGCCTTCCCAGCTGGCCTTCAGTAGCTTGATCGCATTCAGGATTTCTGCCTTCGTTGGAGGATCACTGTCCACTGGCAGGCACTTCTGAACGTGCTGTTGTTGTTGATGGTGGTATTTCTGGGCGAGTTCCAGGTGATGGTCGATTCAATAGTCCTTTAAAGTGATCGGACCAATGTTTTACCTATTTCTGCTCCTTGGTCATCAGTTTCCCCTGAACATCTTTTATTGGTTTCCTCATTCGGGTTGATCTCTTTTGTAGTGAGCTACTGTTTATCCTGTCTCTTCTTTCTGCCCACAACTTCCATGCAGGTTTGACTTCACACCACTTTCAGGCTGTTCCAGTGCTTTTCAACGCTGGTCTCTTCGCTAGTGTTGATTCATGTCTCCACTTTTTCCCTTATGATTGAAGTGAAGATATCCTTTGTATCCTAACCCTTCAGTTTTTGAGTATTGAACTTGACTTGTGGTCTGTCCGCAGCTCCTGTTTGTTTGAAAGCTTTTAATGTGATTTGAAGTGTTCCTTGTACGAGACAGTGGTCTAAACCAACGTTTGCTCCTCCTCTTACTTTTGTGTCCAGTAAGCTGCGTCTCCACTTCCTTGAGCAGCGTTGAGATGAAGTCAATTCGGTTTTTGGTTCGCCTGTTTGGTGACACCCATGTGGCCTTGTGGATATTTTTGTGCTTGTATACGTGCTTCCAATCACTAGTTCATTGAAGGTACAGAAGTCAGCGAAGAGTTCTCCGTTTTCACCTATCTCTCCGAGTATTTTTCTACCCATAATGAGTTCTCTTCTTGTGTTGTCTGGTCCCACTTTGACGTTGATGTCTTCCATTAGTATTTTAATGTCACCAACCGGAGTATTGTCTAGTGTTGGCTGTAGTTGTATGTAGAACTCTTCTTTCTTTTCGAAGTCTGCGTTGTTTGTGGGTGCATAGCATTGTATAATTGCCACTTTCCATCCATTTGTGTTGACTCTGGCGGTCATTATCCTGGCGAGATCGCCTACTACTGTACGAAAGCCTTGGGGCCGTTGGCGACATCATGACAGGCTCGTGATTGTCTTCTGGGTGATCTGAGTCGACCACTGATTATCCCATTGACAATTTTGTGAGTCCACTCCCATCCCATCTGCTTTCACATATTCCGAGTACTTGAATAACATATTGCTTCATCTCATTTGTAATCTGGGCAGCTTTGCTAGTTTATACATAGTGCAGACGTTCCATGTTCCCATACACTTTTTCTTTCGTCGCAAAGAGACTCATCACACTGAAGTTCCTGTAGCAGGTTCCTTTACAGGGCGGGTTGCTGGCCTCACGCTCTGTCGCAATAAAACACGGTAAAAATCCTAAATGAATTGCATTCTCAGATCTAAGGCACGTAGGGAATAACCGGTTATTGAATTTAGGTTTCGGAAAAGAATAAATTATTGATTAAAGATTTTGAATTCAAAATGAACTACTCTATTCCTAAAATTTAAAATAATTTAACGTGTCTGCGCTGAATTAATCTCTCTTTCATACTTATTTCGCCAATCATAATATCACTGTAGCTTTGTTCCTTTCATTTTCCTATGGTTTTCCTAAGTGATGACGCCTAAACTATTCTTTCGTGCAACACTCTACATTAGTCTCTCCGTTATGCATGTCTTAATGCTCAAGCTTTAAAGTACTAGGCTGAAAACCAGATTAATTACAACCTTATACATAGCTCGAAACCTGATATAGTAAGAAATTGTATGCAAACACTTAATTACCTTCATTCGTTGAAACATTTACCTCCTAACTACTATTTTATACGCCTGTTTAACGCAGTATTCACAGAATAGCACGTAAAAGTACGCAATCAGATTTACTGTGGTTTTGCATACGATATGGGGGTCTACTAATTGGAAGAAATACTCACAAAAATCGAGTTTTCCAAATCACACGATGAAGACTGTTCATGTATACTTGCATAAAAACCTGGTTATCCTACTATAGAGTGATATTAAAACTAAGATATTTTAGAGGTGATTAGAGAAGAATTTAAGTGCATTCAGGAATATCTGAAGAAGAAATACGTTGTATTTGTTACATTCTTAAAAGTTGTGAATA